ACTGATTCCATAATAATAATTATCAATAGCTTAATTAAACAATTTCTGTGATACTTCAGAGTTTGGGAAAATTAGATCTGTTGACAGAATTGACAGACAGTAATAAAAATAGAATGTAGTTTTATTTTGACTTTTAATATAATGTGAAGAGTATAATATTGACAATAATTAAAACTTACATCTATTTAAATAAAATTACTTCAACAAAATTTCATCTAATTCACTAACAACTAATGTTCAGGTTATTTACTTTTCTTTCTATTATTACTGACTGTGCTAGTTCTTAAATTCAAAGAACTTAATAATATTTCATCTCCCAATTTATATTGACCCTCCCATTTTCTTTTAAAAACAAAGCATTTTTATAATTACTTTGATTAAGTAAGTATGTAGGAACAAAAATTTAGCAACTTCACAAATGTTTCAAAGTTAGATTTCAGAGAATAAAAACATATACAGGTAAGCATGTGGTCCTTTGTTTTTTCTAAAAGGCATAAATCCTTCAGAGAGGAGTTTTTAAGTTAGTAATTTAATTTTTTGAATGCTTCTAAAATGTTTCCTGGAAAACAAGATTATATAATCTAAAATCTGTGTACTTCTTAGAAGAAATTATTGAAATAGTTTATTATTTCTACAAATAGAATAATAGATACATTTTAAGTCTCACTAATCTGATAAAGCATAAAATGTAATGACATTTAACTTAGTAAATACATTACTAAGTAAAGATCAGCTCAAATAAAACAGTTAAGGATTCTGTATTCTCGGGAAACATAAACAGGATTACAACTGTCAGAGGTACAGCAGCACTGACTTCATCCATTAGTTTGGTTTTGCTTCTGAGAAATATAGTACAAACTACTGAATCATTTCTTTTTAAATCCATACATTCCCTGCAGCAGTACAAGCTTCATCAGCAATGCAGGAATGTATAAAGATGACATGCAAAGGGCATTAGCTTTCTTTCTTTTCCCATACTGTTTTCCAATACATGGAGGGCAGCATTCTTTCTCAAAGCACTTAAACTGAAGCTGGTTAAGTCCATGCTAAAGGGAAATATAACTGAATTCCCTAGGGAAGAACGTTTCACAATTGGATTATGTACTACTTTTTGAGAAAAATTAGGTCCTACTTATTTATTATCATACAAAAATATTGCAAGATTAGCATTCTATCCTATTTTCAATTATTCTTCAGTTAGAGGTATTTCAGTTTCTAAATGTTCTGTCAACTCATCACCATATTTTAGCATGAGAGTACCTAGTCCTGATTATACTTTTAAATAAAGTCCCTCAAGTTCAAACATACCAAATTTCTTTTGAAAATGTATTTATATAAATAGTTTTGTTTTTACTTGCGAGTCTCTATATGCATAAAAGTTTCAATTAAAGAGGAAATCCAATTAATCAGAGCTTAATCATGATCAAGCACAAACAGAATGCAATGAGTAAACTGACTACTTTTCTGGAACTTAAAACACTCACATTTCTCAGTATTCACATAACCTGACAACTTTTTTTAAGAAACTGGGAAATTTTAAGACTACAGTTTCAAACATACACATATTCTAGTTTATAGTAACTAAAACCACGCCCACCTCAGAATTATCATCTATGTTCTTATAAAATAAATGTAATGAGGAAAAGGTAAAGTCCAGAGGATCTTCAGGTTCTTGGGCTCACCGCTATACCAAACACACAAAAAAATCAAATCACTGGCTGACGTCCTTCCCTTTTTAGGACTGCCTCGAAGCCTGCCCAACACCACAGCTCTGGGCAGAAGCATGCTGATGTTGGCACTGCCTAAACCAAACAAACAAGATGTTTAACAGTCAAATAAAACGTCCTGCAGCCTCCCTAATGAATTTGTCAAGGACCATCAGATTTCGCTCCCCCTCCTTTGCCTCATTAACTCAAGTATGATGAGACGGATTATAACAAGAGAATACAGATCAATCGGTCTGAAGACTTGAAGTGGCTTTTAGCCTCTGGAGTTTGCTCCTCTCCCTCGGTCTCCTTTAATAGAATACCGTATCTCCTGCAGAAGGGGCTGCCACTTCGTTTTAATACACCATCAAGAAGCTGCTGATGGACTTCTATACTAACATACATAAAAGCGGAGGTGACGGGGGCTCTTCAATTACAGCCTCTCGGATACCGTTTCCCCCTTCAATTATTCAACCAGAGGAAAAGAGGAGCCTAAACCCACAGCTGAAGCTGCTCGGGGGCTGAGGCCGCCGCGAGTGAGCTGGGGGTGGGGGCAGGATTATTTGCTGGAAGTGTTTAAGTTTATTGCTCGAATGATGTTTCTAATTAGTACCCCGGCAATAAATTTAAGTCGCCTTTGTTTAACTGATTTATTATTTACTAGAGCATCTACCTTAGACAGGGTAAATTGGTAATGAATTGTTTTTAAATCAAAACATTTGTAACGTTTTATCATCCTTCAGCCTCTGTAAGTAAAAGTGGAGAAACCAGGGGACAAGGGTGCGACAAAACTTAGTCATGCTTGACACAGCCTGGGGCAGAGGAGGAGCGGGGTGTCAGGCCGCGGCGGCGGGAAGACCCGCGGCCGGCCGCCCCACCCGGGGCGAGCGCGCGCGAGAGCTGGGCGCCTCCCGGCGGACTCGGCGGCGGCGGCCCGGAGCCCGCGCAGGGAAGGTCCGCCACCGCAGGCTGTGCGCACTCACTCACTCTCGGGACTATCCAGGGCCACGCGCAAGAACAGCCGCCACCTCGAAGACGGGGAGGGACTGCTCCGCACCCGCCAGCCCCACCACCAGTCTCCGCCCCAAAACTGCCCTCGGGAGAAGTTGCTAAGGATCCTCCCCAGCTGGTCACGCAGCTCCCCGCGGCAAAGTGCCCCTCCTGCCCCACAGAATCCCAGAGCCCGACGCGACCCGGGGAGGAAGAGCCAAGTTACCAACTGAGCCTGGGCTTCCCCACGCGCGAACCCGAGCGCCGCCGCCGCTCTCCATCCCTCAGCAGCAAGCGTCCCGGGACGCGAGCTGCTCCCGAAGGCTGGAGCCCGCGGCCGCCCCGAGTCTCGGCCACTCCACGGAAGTTGTCTAAAGCTCTGAGTCCCAGAGTTTTACCGAGCTTACTTTCGACTGTTCTCTTCTTCCCAATTCCTCGCCACTGAATATGACCCTAAGGAATAAATCAGGCTTGATTAAAAAAGAAAAAAGGCAAATATTCTTTAGACAGAGATTTTGGCAATGCGAGAGGACAAGCCACCAGCGGTCCGTACCAAAGATGTAAGGAAAACCCAAGAAGTCCAAGGATCTGACACCAACAAGATGGAGAGAATTAACTTCCCCTGTGCAACCGAATTCAAGTTGACCTGGTCGGACTTTAAAGACAGCAAGTGGAGAATTTCCTGGAGATTCTGCAAAAGCCACATTAATGGGTTTTACCTCACCTTAACGGCGCCACAGATTTTTATTTGTAGCACATAATCCAGACTGGAGTATCATCTCCCGAATCAAATAAAAGTCCCATCTACCCAAGAGTGTTAAAATAACTCGGAATCTAGACACCTTAAGTTCAAAGATAGTTCAGTAAACCAGAAACAATGTTACAGCTTTTTCCTCACTCAAAAGGTCTAAAAGGCTACTGTGAATACTTCTTGTAAAGGATAATACACTCACTGAAGGCACATGCATGAGTTTCACTGAAATGCCAAGGGAGGAGAGAAGCCATCTGTGCGATCAATAACAGGACAGGCATAGATTTTTGTAGCAGTCAAGTCTTTTAAGAGCAAGAGTCAATTATGAAAATAAAATCATTTTAGAAATAAAACTCTGTACTGCCTGAAAGTATACCCAAAATTAGGTTTACAACATAACATATTAAGAAAACTTTAATTCAGGCCAACATCTACTCCCCTTCATTTTCATTTATCTTGATACAATTTTGAAAGCTTATTTTAACTTATAAGTATATGCTACCAAATGTTACTACAGAAATTTGCACTATTTCTCATGACTTATTTTCTCTCTAGTAACCGGTTAGTTCTTGTAATGATAAATAATAATATTTGCTATATCTGAATCAATGATAAAAGAATTATCAAAGACTTGTTTTTGTCTCGCCCAGTTTTTCAACAGCATATGGAAATTACTAACAAGAGATTTATAGTTATAAACCCTCACCAGATATCCTCTCCACCCCCCACTGGTACATATACAGCGACTGCTCTGGCTCTTGGCAACAATGGGAGGAGAGAAGAGGAGGAAGACTTCACAGGATGGGGAAAAACACTCACAAAAATTAGGTCCTTTCCCAAGTTCCCCTTCCTCCTCCCATTTGCCTTCAAGCCAAAGTAATTTTGTTAAGAGTTTGCACATCTTCCCCTGCACAATGCTGAATTATTTAAATTATTTAAAAAAAAAAAAACACCTTTCTGAACCACTGCTACTCTCCCTTGCGTTATCCCAGCCATCTTCCGGATAATCCCTTCTATATACACTCCCTTTTTCTTCTTTGCAACTGATAAGAGGATAAAGAACAGGGGACTGTAAAATGTATGCGAGCATTTGACTTCTATTATCTCCTATTTTCTTACTTCTCTTTTTACCCTCTTTCTTTATCAAGTGCACTGGTGGCTGCTACCGTTTGCCAAGCGTGCCTGTCTTCTCTCTCGGATTGGCTAAAGCACTGACAGCTCCGATAGGGATTGTAGGAACTGAAGCTCCACCCCCCTCATGGTGGCCCTGGGACCATTCATAAACTAAATAACTCCAGGAGAGAGAGAGAGAGAGAGAGAGAGAGAGAGAGAGAGAGAGAGAGAGAGA